TCCTTAAAAATATATATGATAAAGGCTCAGAAACTTTATTATGTAATAGAAATAAAACATTGTGCCTGCCACATTTAAGCTTCTTCTAAGTTGAAGAGCTCCTTCAACGGTCCTAGGTAAGCATATTTTATACAAGGTGACCAGCATCCCCACTGGCTAAAGCTGACTAGACTATGAATAAGTGCTTGACACACAGTCACAAACATTTCTGGCCTCAAAAAGGATAATAACCTTATTTCATCCTGAGGAACAGGAATAGAGGAACGATGTGTTAGGGAACATAGCAGTTGGTTTTTGGAGAAGATGTAGGATATAAACAAAAACTAGTAGAGCTGGAAAGAGAGTTAAGTCACTTTGGGGGACAACAATTCAGTGAAAATCAAGGAACTACAGCTACTGAGGTCCCTGGAGCAAACTGGATCCAGACTTTGTATCAATCAGTCCTGATCAAATGAATAACTCCTATTCATAGATTAGTGCGTGAGTCCAGACTCCTGTTTTGATGCTTACAATAAACTTAGAATATCCAAGTAGTCATTGCTCCAAGCTACTGAAAGTATACAACTTTAAATTAACTATCTTGAGTCTGATGCATCTTAGGATATGCTATATATCTGAATATACATCCACCTATACAGAAGAAGATATATGGAATAAATAAGCCAGCAACTTAAGAGTGGATGCATTTTTTTTTCAAATAGCAACAAATTAAGCAGGTATAAGTGATCAACAGAAGAGAATCTTTTTAGGTGATTAATTAATACACACACACACACTCTCACACATATACTAACATGGTCTTCATATCTGTGTTAATTTTGACTATGTTGACATGACATCAAGTGTAACTAAACTTCTGATTTACTTTCTTTTATTTGATCAACATAATATCAAGTATTTGGCTTAAGTGAACATATTATGTGGATTTTATTATTGGGTAACTTGGATCTTAAATTAAGATATGCAGGGAATACATTTCTCAATGATTCTCTATGAATCAACATATTATTCAAGTGTGCTCTGTTCTAAAATATTACATAAAAATAACACATGTGCAACCTCTCCATTGAGCAAGAACACCTAAGTTAATGCAATCATAAAAACCTTCATTTTCATTTACATTTATTCATTGGGACTAGTTTTTTTTTTTCCTGTTCCTGGATAAAATCTTCAGCAATTCTGCTCACTGATAAATGACTGAGTTCCTCCAGTGAGTAATTAAAATGTTCAGGATCATGGAATAGTGAGAGCTTTAGACTTTTCCCCAGTTTTTGGCTATCTCCTGATTGGGAGCCATGTAGACAAAGATTGGAGAGTGGTCACTTCTTCCTTGCTTTATCTCTACTCCTCCCTCAGAGATTCTGACACCTCCAGTGTCGAAACAGAGCATGTGAGAAATGTAGAGAGGGAGCAAAGTTTGTGCTCACTTTAAGGATACTCTTACGAGCTGACAAGGTACTCTAGGAGTTTGTGGCTGAATTTTTCTCTTGTGTGTTCTTTGTGGGTTCCTTAGAGACTCGCCCATCCCATGACTGGAACTTCTCACCTTCCTTTGACGTGAGTAATACACTTTCCTCCAACTCCTGGCTTACTCTTTCCACAGTCCCCAGACATGTGACTACACCCCCAGCTTTTCCCCTCTCCAGTGCTCCTGTTCTCTTGCTCTCTCTCAGCCTAGAGTCTATAGAAACAAAATTTGCTATAGACCACCCCAAACAACTGCCTCTTCTTTTGCACTTTTATCAGCAACTATACAGTCCATCTGTCATTACTTAGATTTCTCTGGTAAGAGTTAGACACTCTGTATGAGACAAATATCAATTTCTTCCAAGTAGTTCTGTTAAACTTTTTCTTCCATGGGATCTGAAACACCCCCTTGAGAAGAGGTTGGGATTTACAGCACACCAGCAGCTCTCCTCAAACATCTCTTTTTCTCCATTGTCCTATGTCTCAACTTCTGCAACCTCTTATAGGCTACAAATGGGTGACCATCTCTGAGTCTAGGCTACCTTTTTTTTTTTTTATTCCCAAGCTCTACATGCTGGTCATAGAAAGAAATGTAGCATCAATTGTTTTCATGCCTCAGTGTAACTGAGACATAAAAAGAGACACTTTAACATTTTTGCAGTACATAGTTTTGATATGAGTTGTCACTTATTTAAAATCAGAACATAGCATATCCTCTGGGTATAGTTACATAATTTAAAATATTTTATTATAATTACATATCATAATATAAATAAATATTATGTTCATAATAATATTTTGAATATAATCATAATACAATATGAAAAATCTAGATGGTAAGATGATTTTCAAAATACATGATATAATTAATAAACTAAACACAGATCTGTTTCTCATTTGTTCATGCATTCATTCCATCCCTTAAAAAAAATATTATTCAACATCTACTAGATGAAGGGGGTATCATGATGGGTAAACAAGTTTGGTTCATTCCCTTGTAGAGTGTGCAGTCTAATTTATTATAAAAAGAGCATTTTTTATATTGCACAACTGTTAGGATATTTGAAAAGAACTGGCATAGCCTTAGAGCATGGGCAGGAATAGACAACAAATAAGAAAGACAGTAATTGAACAAAAGAATGCACCAGTAAGAGCCCAAAATTGATCATAAATTGATAAAAACTAACAGTAGGAATCTGTGATGTACAGAGTTACAACTAAGATTACTTAGTAAACACAGGAAATCGTAATAAGGCATGTGGTTAGCAAGTCTGTTAAGGGAAAAGTTGTCTTTGGACAGGATGTTCTTGTCAGAAAGTTACTGTAAACATATTTGTACCAAAAATATTATTTTTTGAAGAAGAATATCTTTCTCAATCAGGAAGAAAAATACGGCTATTTGATGGATCATAATTGTGAATCTGTGTCCAACTATGGAATAATACCTGGGAGTATAATTGCTGGTGGTGTTTTCATCAATAGCTTTAAAATATATCTCATTTTGTTAATTTTGGAGTTTAAGAGCAGAATATGAGCCTTACCATCATGCAATTTCCATTCTGAAGGAAATAATGAATATTTTAATTTATTTATATATTTTAAATTTTAGAATCAGTTGTCTATTCGCAAAGGGGACATAAATCATCCTTTAAAGATATCTACAGTTCTGAAAAAAAGTTAAAACAAGTAAGGCAAAGAAAACCAAAGGAATATGAGGAGAAACAATATATGTAGCCTAGTTAGTAAACAAAATGCATGCCATAAATTTCCTTATGAACTTACAAATGCATATTTGACTCTAAACTTACTAAGAACCAAAGTAAAGAGGGAAGCAGTCTAGGTTATGAGATTCATTGTGTCCATAAATTTAAACTAACTAGATGCTCAGAAAAAAACATAATTATTCTTAATATTTAAAAGAGATTAATCCCATGGATCCTTTTCAAGAAAACTCTTTTGTAATAGAATGGATGCCCACAATGGCATTATAGTAAACACAGTTTTATAGGGTTCTTCTATTTTCTTTCTTTGTTTTTTAATAATATCCCTGAGCCAGTTAGACCTATTTGCAACAGACCTCTTGCCCTTCCCCTGCTCCAGCCTGTACTGCAGGGAGCTAGACCCTTCAGGATGAGTTTCCCAGTCTCTAAGTCAGCAGCTTCCTGCAGGGTTCAGTCAATGGAACAATTGCTAGGACACAGAGGTGAAGGTGGAAGACAGAAGCTGGAATACTTCTATCATTCTGTCTTCAGTGATGTCTCCAGCTAAGTCTACTTTCCCGTCTGAACTTGTGTATGTGGAAAGTTCCAGCTTCCACCAGGTTACCACCATTCCCTTTGTCCCTCCAGTCTGGATTTAGCAATAGCTTTGATTTGTTGTTAATCTCTTGGCTGCCTCTAATACCCTGATTGGCTTCTCAGTTCTTCATCACTGATGGAAGCATTTCCCTAGTTTAAATACCCTCTGTTTTAAATATTCAGGGAGTTTTCTGTTGTCTCACTTGCACCCTGACTGATAAAAACATTTATTGTAAGACAATGGCATATCTTCCAAGTCAATTCAATAAAAACAATTTTACATTGGGAAATGTCACAGAAAGTATTATTATCTGTATAGATGCTTATGCAACAGTGAACAGCTGATACAGAAAGGCATAGGAAACACATTCCCATTAGTCATTCAGGCACCATCTTCAGGAAGAGTATAAGAATTCACCAACACCAATACAAGCACATCTGATATCTCAGCATGTGAATTAAACAATGAATCTTCAGTGGACATGCTCTCTGGAAAGGTCCCTAGAAATGCACCCCTGCCAACATTTCAGCTGTAATAAATCAGTGCAACCTAGAAAGAATATCCTGAGGAAGTAGTATCTCTATGCCATCTACCTACAAATAACATATAATTCACCTAGGACTATCCTTTTTCTGAAAATATAGAAAATAAATGTGGAAGGTAGTTTGTAGGCTTCCCCTTTCAATTCCTATCTTTACTAAATTCATAAACTAGGAAACCTTATACAACTAAGCATTATATAACAATTATATAACAAGTAACAGCAAATTACATACAGTTAATTATGTAACAAATGACATTTTCAAGTAATCCACTAATTGTATGACATCAGCAAAACTAGGTTTATTTTATTCTGATGTTATTAAAATTTTCAATCCTATGGATAATGTCCTAGTTCTTATTACATGTATATCTGGCAATCTTTGCATCCCAATTTGGCCTAACTGGGCTTCCTAAAAAGAAGAAAGTGCATTGGTTGGAATATTTTAGTCTCCATAATAGTTATGATTCCTACTGTGAATTAATAAAACAGCACCATGAATCTGTATTGCAGTACCATAAATCTGAAAATTTGCATCCCCTCTGTGAAGTTTCTATTGTTTGTGTGCTGGCAAGTTATATTTCTCAGCTTGCAAAATTAACTTAAACAATTGCAAAATCACCAGTTCAATACCCCTTTGAGACATCTTTCCCAAGAAATACATTCCTACAACATCCATCTCTTCTACACTTACCTGAAAGATTTCTTAATATCTTCTGCTTGGATTGTCTTAAGGATCTCTTGGTATAACTGAGGATCAACTGTTCCTGAAGATGTAGCATCTGAAGGGTGATTTTTATGTGCATAATAACCTATCAAAATTCCAAAAATAAATAAAATGGTGGCTGTGCAAAATATTTTTAAAAGGTAGCAAAAGTTGCAGCGGATGCTCTTTGGTGCAGATCTTTGATAATGTGCAACATAGTCAGACTCTTCTTGAAGTCGCTGGAACCTTCCTTTTGGTGAAGTTGCTCGTTGAATGGAATCAAGATTAAGGTCTGCAGTCTCTGAATGTCCCAGGTTCTGATTCTCAGTACTATCTAACTGGAACTGGTCAAAACCAGGTTCCTCCAGTTCCTTCTCCATGTCCCACTCTAAGTCAAGGGCAGTGGCTTGAAGGTCATCATTGTCTAAGTACTGTGAGTGTCCTGGAGCTCTTTGATCTGCACTGACCTTCTGGTAGGCCATCTTTTTACCTGTGGGAAAAAAAGAGAAATATATTTTCTTAAAATAAACAAAAAACTTACAAGTAAAAACAAAATAAAACAGTAAACCATACTGGTGACCATAAAATCTTAGTGATTATAATCAGGAGAAATATCATCTCCCTATAGAAAGTAATATTTATTTAATTATTTAGTCAGGTTTTGCTTGATGTTACTATAGAAAAGGAAGATTAAAAAATAAAAATAGAGCCCCTTTTTCCTGGATGCAGGTGAGCAACAGAGCACTCCCAGGGTCCTAGGCAAGAGATGAGGGCAGCTCCCTCTGCCTGGAAGCAGAAAAGCAACAGAGCACACTGGGGTCCTAGGCAGGAGCTGAGGGCAGCATCCCTTGCCTGGAAGCAAGAAAGGACCATGCTGAAAACACTACTTCCACACAGGTGGCCCACCACAGCCACCTCCACAGCCACAGCTGCTGCAAAAGCAGCTCAACACCAAAGCAGTAGCCACAACCACTGTGTAGGCAGCCCACCAGGCACTCGACTGTATTGACACACGGAAAGTCACAAGTGGTGAGTGGAAAAAGAAGAGCATGTCTCTCTCCTCAAAGCTCACTCCAGAGTCACAGAAGAAGCAACTGCTTTACCAGATAACCAGACATGAGTGTAGAGATACTAGAAATATGAAAATACAAGAAAATATGACACCACCAAAAGAATACAGTAATTCTCAAATACCAGATCCTATAGAGCAGGAAACCCTTAAAATGACTGAAAAGGAATTACAAGCAACAATCTTAATGAAACTCACTGAGATATGAGAAGAATCAGTTAGACAACATAATGAAACAAGAAAAAATCTAGGATATGAAGGAGGAAATTTACGAAGAGATTAATACTTTTAAAAAAGAAGGTAGCAGAATTCATGGAACTGAAGGATTCACCCAATGAAATAAAAAACACAACTGAGAGTTTAAGCAGCAGGCTAGAACAGCAGAAAAAATAATTTCTGATCTTGAAGATAGTCTTTTTGAAATAATTGGTGGACCAAAAAAAGGAAAAAAAAAGAATTTTTAAAAAATGAAGAAAATCTGAGGAAAGCCAGCAAAGGACTCCACAGAGGCGGAGTGAAGCGCGCCAGACTGCCCCAGATCA